GTTATTGGTAAAACTTGAAAATCTAGTAAGATTTTGTGCTATGAGTCCACATAACACTTACAGTCTATGAAGAACCTGAGGGTATTATGATCTGAGAAACTCAGTTTCATATAAATTCATTTAAGACATCAAATAAAAGAACTATTTTGAATATAAACTTACATTGGAGAGCAAATCACAGTTACAAAATATTTCAAACAACCCTTGTTGCGCTGTTCTGATTTTTAAAAAAATCAGTGGTGTGAGATGGAAAATCCTTCTTCAAACTGCAATCAGAACCCCCTGCAAAATCTAGTTTTCTTTTTGGGTAGCCCATTTTTCTCGGAAGTTGAAAACAAAAGTATATTATGAATCCAGTCACATGGGCACATGAAGCTTGGGTCTGCACTGACCAGGAACATGTTGATAAGGAGAATATCGAAGAATGTAGATAAGAACCTCACAATGCGCAAACCTCCTTAAATGAAGATCCTCTCCTCTCATGGGGGAGGTGAGCTTTAGATAAAGACAGGAAGGTGTTTCCTTACTATGTATCATTTAAATACATTGATCACTTTTGGTTTTCAAAGGCAAACTGAAGTTTAAAGTAGCAACTAATGCATGTGTCTGTGTTATTGTTTTGATTGTTCTCACACTTTACTTTCTACTTTTAGTATCTTTTTCTGTTTATATTTACCAATGATTTATATGCTCTGCTAGAATTCACTTCAAGTATTTTGTAGAATATGGTGAAGTATAACAAATATAAAAAATGAATTAGTTTGCTTTTCACTAGGCCTTCAAAACCGAGGGGAGATTATTTTTAGCTTGAGAGCACAAAGGTATTTTCAACATTAAGCAGAGTCTTAAGAGAAATTGAAGATAAAATTCCATTGCTGTAAAGGACAAAATTCAGGGCAGTGGGTGCAAATTACTGAGAGGTGGATTTCATTTCATTGTGATAGATACATTTTAAGAGTTAGAAAGTCATAAAAAGGAAATAATAGGTTACCTTCCCTCAGTTTGGAAGGGAACAGATCCTTACGTGAATGAGAGTCTGGACAAGGGCATATGGCAGGAACACAGGACATAGATTCTTGCAGCATTATACTATCACAATATTACACAATACTGGTAATCAAAACAGAAGCACTAATGGCCATAATAATACAGCATAGTCCTGAGTAGTTGTTTTCATTTAGAGCATTGTCAAGTGACATTATACATGTTCTGTCTCATCCCAAACTTTACAGTAAGAAAATCAGAATGTTTCAAAGTAAAATAACATGAGTAAAATAACATGGAAGGAGAAAAGAGATTTCCATAACTTGTCTTCTGACCTCCACACACAATATAGTATGTGCATATACATACACAAATAAATAAATAAATGGAAATAATTGTTTTAAAGCCCTGTAAAGTGAGAAGGAAAAGCTGATGAAGTAGGAGTGAACTGGACGTTTCTTGCTTGCCCGTCAGTTTCCAAATAACCACTTAATATTAATTATTGTAATATTAATTACAAACTGTTTGGCCTATTAGCTCAGGCTTATTATCAATTAGCTCTTGCAACTTAAATGAACCCATTTTTATTATTCTATATTTTACTGCAAGGTTTGTGGCTTGTGACCTCACATCTTGTTTCCCCCCTGCAGCTACTCGAGTCTCTCAGACTCCACCTTCTTCTTTTTTCCCTGTATCTTTGCTTGGATTTTCCACCTGCCTCTATTCTGCCTGTGTATTGGTAAGTCAGCTTCTTTATTAACCAATGGCAATAAAACATATTCACAGAAGGGCATCCCACATCATAAGAGGAAAGCAGCGAAAGGACTGTGTCACAAAAATTGTGATATGTGTGGAGGAAACAGTTTTGACTAGATTTCTCTAGGAGACTCATGCCTAAGTCACGGTCTGAACTTTTTCTTCTCACAAACTAATCACATCATTCAAGAATTTACAAGGGCTTCCCATGACATCAACTCCATAGTAGCCTTACTTTGCTTCTAAAGCTTGGCTTTCTGAACAGGCACATCTCTTCCTTCAAACATCCCCAGTAGCTCTAACTTTTGTCCGAACAGCTCTCTATTCTGAGAGAATATTCTCTATTCCATTCACTAGGGGATATTTGTTAAACAGTGGTGCCAGGCACTCAGTTATGCCCTAAAGCTACTGGGAAAAAATAGAGCTCCTACTCCCTAGGCCTTAGCTAATGTGCAATTACTCATCGGACCTCCTCATGGGTGCATTTGGAGGGAAAAGGATTTGTCTACTATCTAATTTTGACTCATTCTTTTAGTGTTGTTTCTTCACCCCACATTTCACTCTGCTCCACCCAGTTCCGGCATGACTTTACCACACCTAGAACTATTAATGGCTTCCAGGAACTGCTGGATCCCAGCTCCTCAGGACAGAATGTTGCTGTTCCTACCAGTCAATAGTGGCAGGAACCTAGCCACAGGGTACTGCATTCCCCAGTCTGAGTTCTAATCAGCCCATAATAATAGAACTACGTTCGCACTGTGCAGTTCACTTGGACTTCACCTGAATGATGCAGGCTATTCTCTGACACACCAAAACGATTCACTTTATGATCCCTTACCAATGAGGCAAGGATGGTCCTTTATAATTTAGGTCTGCTCACTCAGGGACTATTTGAATTCAACCCCTACCACACACACCTCTCAAGTACGAAGAGAGATTCTGAGAGTCAGTACAGCTATACTCCACACTGCAATGTTCCTAACCCCAAAGTTTTCTGGGAGCCAACAGTTCAGATCTTGTCATGTTGACGTCCTGTTCTTTCAGGTGACTTTAGACTCTTTTCTCTTAATGCTTATATGGGGAGCTGCTACAATACCATCATTTACAAGTCAGTACTTAAGTATACTGAAACTTGTACAATGCTTGAGACTTTATGTACAGTCAGGATTTAGTCAAACTCTTGAGCAGTGCAAACTGAGGGACATGCTGTAATCTCTAAATTAGAAAGAGGTAGACTGCCTGCTAGCCATAATTCATATGATGTTTCTTAAGAATAAATGTCACAGTTCTGCCTGTTAACACTTAAGACAATCAGAACAATAACTGCTATAATAGAAATATGTTAGCCAGGAAGTAGTGGCACATGCCTTCAATCCCAGCACTTGGGAGGCAGAGGCAGGCAGATCTCTGTGAATTAGAGATCAGCCTGCTCTATAGAGTGAGTTCCAGGACAGCGAGGCATACACAGAGAAACCCTGGCTTGAAACACCAAATGAGAGGGAGAGAGAGAGAGAGAGAGAGAGAGAGAGAGAGAGAGAGATCCAAAAGGGGTAAATGGGGTATGGGGGAGCAAATTTATCTCAGGGAGCTATGAAACGATCTAAGGAAAAGAAGTATTCAGTTGAGACTGAGCTGATCATGAGGCCCTCGCAGGATGACAGAATAGTGGGGATTTTGGAATAGCTAGCGTGAAGAAAATGGGGAAATGTCAGGTGCGATTTACCAGTATTGGGGTAAGATCACAAAGGGCAATGCAGATGATAACGAAGGAAGGTGCCTGAAAAAAGTTCATTTTCACGTTAGAAAAGCTACTAATAGAACGGAGTTCGGAGGAAGAAATTAGGAGATAAAACGATCCATTGACGGATGAGGGAGAATTGTAACAGGTGGGTTTGAGAGATATTTAGACTTGGCAATAGTGAGGTGGGATGAAGAGAAGGGCTCTGGGGTGACATTATTTGAAGAACAGAACAGCAACAGTGCAGATGAGTGGGGAGAAGACGGCTCTCAGGATAAGATAAAGATGTCCAGGTCTATTTTAGGACATACTTAAGGCACTCATGTGAAATCCAAATGGACACCGTTAGACGGATCCAGTATGAAGATACACACCTCGGAGTGCTTTGTCTATAATAGAGCTGATAGGCTAAGTGCATCAGAGAGGTTGATGAGGGGCCAGGAGGACATGGCATAATACCAGTTACTTTTAACTTCCTAAGAGCTGGTTCCTCCTCCTTCCACTCCGAATTTTAATGCGGAGGGCAGCGTCATTTCGTTCTACTTCTCTTATGTGGTAAGGAGGCTCAATAAATTCTCAGAGATCCAGTTTCAAGCGCAATAAACTTGCCACATGTCACCCACCAACTTCTAAAGCTTCCTCATCGTCTCTTCAGGTAAACTCTAGTCATCTGTGAGCTCACCTACGTCTGTTTTTATCACTGTGTTCTACACATCCCAGCTTGGGAAAGATCTTTCAAGACCACGTCTACTCTGGAGAGATCTTGATAGCCAGACAGCCAGGCAGGTTTTTTGTTTTGTTTTCCCTTTTCACTATGATCCCTAAGAAAGGTTTTGCAAACAAAGATTAGCTTGGTTCTCAGCAGCAGCTTGGAACTTAAAACCTGTTCCAAAACACGGAAACGAAGCTGCCAAATTTTCCTGACAAATATTAACCGGGTCAACACGCTAATTAAGGCTTTCATTTTATTAACGGTCACGAAACCACCAGCGAGGGGAAAATACATTCACGCCAAAGGAAACCATTCAAGCGCCAACAAACCGTCCCGACTCCCTGGGCGCCGAGCCAGCACTGGCTAGATCCGCGGAACCTTGGCTCAGCTCCCGCCGAACCCGCACTCGGATTACAAAACCGCAAACCAAGGCGGAGAACGGTACAACCACCGCGTCTGCTGCGGACTCAGTCCCACTGCCAGAGACGCCGCTCGGGGAACCGCCACGTTTTCACCACGGCCCGCCCCGAGCGCCACGCCCCCGCGTCCCCCCCCCCCAAAAAAAGCCCTGTTCTCGCGGGATCTCGCGTCTCACGAAGCCCGCGGAACTGGAGCATTACCCGCAGGAAAGCTGGGAATTCACGTGCGGGGGCGGGGCGCGGCGGGAGGGCGGGGCCTGCGCCAGGGGGCGGAGCGTCCTGACGCGAGGGAGGGAGGGCGGGGTCCGGGGACCTGTTGATCGCAGGTGTCACTGGCCAGACCGGCCCCTGGCTCTCGGGTGTGCGCGCATGCTCTGCGCGCGTCGGGCGGCCGAAAGCGGCGGTGGCTGTCTGTCCCTGTGCGCGTCGGTTCGGTTCGGCTGTCACGACGTGGTGGGTGGCGGCGCGAGGCGGGCCGGCGGGACTGCAAGGCTGCGGCGCTCGGGAGGTCGAGCTTGGGGTGAGTCTCGGGAGCCCCCGCTGGGCAGAGAGCGGAGGACCCGCGCCCCCCTCGGCCTGCTCCCGCTCGCCCGCCCGCCCTCCGATCGGGCGCGCTGAGCCGGGTGGCCGCGGGCTGACGGCGGGATCTGGCTGGGTCGGGATGTGCTGTCCAGGCTCCTGTCCCTCACTGTCCAGCCCCGCGGTCGCCAGGGCACTCAGCCTTCTCCGGGGCTCCTGCCTGATTGGCGTCCCTCCTCGGGGGAGCAGGCTGGATTGGATGCGCTAGAATCTTGGGGTGGTGGTTTCTCAGTCGCTGTACGGAGATGGACAAAGTTAATGTTTAGCTTCCAAGCGGCGCTTTACGGTACAATTACCCGAACTACTCGGCGGCGGCGCGGGAGAACAGGAAGTGCCCGCACAGGTGTAACAGGGAGGCTCTGAAAGCCTGCAATCTGAGCCTGTTTGGAGGTTTTGTTATTCTCAAGAGGGTTGCTTTATCCATGCAGAACCTGATAAAGGCTTCCAAAACATAACCTCACGTCCTTATCTCTTTGCAGTTTTCCATATCTGGAAACATACCCCCCCACACGATACTTTGAAGGCTGCTTTTGAGGTACATGGACGGTAAACTTAAATTCTTTGTGATTAGCACTGAAACATTTGGAAAACGGCATGCTAATTTTCACATTTAAAAGGTGTAGCAAGTGCTGACACGAAGTTATGATGGGAAGAATTAGTTAAATTGTTAACTTGTCAGTTTTATTTTCTGTCGTCTTCAAGTCTGGGATGACGATGACGATCCTTCATCCTGTTAAATAAAAATTAATAGGAAAAAATGAAGGAAACGTTCCGCAAATGTAATGGGTGATTCATCCAAACAGACTTAACTGTGGGTGGGAGCTGTATTATGAAAAATAAGGCTTCTGCCTTATTTTTTAGAGGCTTTTAAAATGAACTCCTTTAACACCTTGATTACTGACTAGACACTTAATGAAAGTGATTTATTTGGTATGTAAATCAAACCAATGATAGTACCAATGGGTACCAAGAGGTACACTTCCCGAACTGTAAAAATCAAGAGACCCCCCCCCCCATCCCGAAGCCTTTTCCTTAGGTTTGTTTTTTTTTTAATTCATAAAGTTGTAGGTTCTCTCCAACTCATGGGACGTGACGCTAACAGTTCATTACTGTTTTCTCTAAAAGATGTAGACGTCACACTGTTTTTAAATAAAAAGTTTGTCATTTTAGGGTAGGACGCATTTTCTACTTATTCTTGTCCTTGAAAAGAAAGCCCACCGTGCCCTTCCCGTTTCAGTCTGAACTCTGTCTGATTCAAGACACTTTTTATGTTGTTTACTCTCGGACGTTTATTTTGACTATGTGGTGTCAAGAAGTGCGGTTTTAGTGTCCAAGGGCTTAGAAGTTTGTTTTAACAGGACAAAGTTACAGACTGGAAAGAAACCTAACCTATTTTAAGGGGTGATGATGCACTTTTAGAAGCTAGAGGCAGTTGCTTCCATTTCGAGACTTGCTGGACCTCCTCTAGTTGGAGAAGGGGTGAATGCTGCTTGACTCCACAACTTTCTGAAAAGACATTTGATCTCTACACAGTGATGGTTTACATTAGCAGACCCAGGTGTGAAGTTACTGAAATACCTAGCAGACTTGTTGTTTCGCAGCTGTAACTATAAGGTGCGCCCTAATTATAGACCCTAATGACAATCCGCAGCAACCTTGGTAGCTTATATAGTGCATGTGCAAACATTTCAGACACACTGTGCTAAGATAGGGAGCTCTTCGTGAGATCTTGCGTTAAGGAAGGACATGCGTCATCTTGGAAAAGCAGAAATTAGCGTGAGCACAAATGTGTTGGTATGGGAGATGATTCACTTTGTATCCAAGTGACTTTTAAAGTGTTTGTTTACAGTGTATGTATATAATAGAAATAGGTGTAACTGCTCCGCCATACATAGAAAATCCTTACAAGTTTTTGAAATCCTAAGTAATTTTATATAACACCCTAACCTTGGCAGGTTAATGTTTTTTAAAAAAATAGGAATAATATGATATATGTGTGCATGTGTGTGTGTGTGTGTGTGTGTGTACTGCATATAGAGAGAGGCTAAGCAAACACATTTGTACTATTCTTTTCAAAGTTAATTCATATTCTCTACTAATTCTTTATTGGTCCCTAATCATAAATGTAGTATTTACTTATAATTTTATTATTTGTTTGTCTTCCTTTGTAGCCTAGGCTAACCCTCAGACTTATAGTCCTCCTCCTTCAGCTTCCCAGGTGCTGAAATGATAGGTGTGCACCACTATATGAGGCTTAGAAGTGAATTTTAGTATATTGGTTTTCTGTGTGACTTTGATTTTTTTTTTTTTAAACATGCCTTTTTCTTTAAAATCAGAATGTTATCAGAGAAGGCTGTCTTGGGCCACTGGAAGTGTCTACAGGGCTCAAATTGTCTCATGTATTCATATTTGTTTTTTTTTTTATGGTGAAAAAGTGTATATTTAGAATTAGCTGGCTGGGCTCAGTTTAGATGATTCCAATCTTGTTGGCAACATCCAGAGCATCATAATCAGGAGCCAACCGAACATACGCCTTCTTCTCTCCATCGGGCCTTATGAGGGTGTTGACTTTGGCCACATCGATGTCATAGAGTTTCTTCACAGCCTGTTTGATCTGGTGCTTGTTGGCCTTGACGTCCACAATGAACACAAGTGTGTTGTTGTCTTCTATCTTCTTCATGGCTGACTCGGTGGTCAGGGGGAATTTGATGATGGCATAGTGGTCAAGCTTGTTCCTCCTGGGCGCGCTCTTCCGGGGGTATTTAGGCTGCCTTCGTAGCCGCAGGGTCTTGGGACGCCGAAAGGTGGGCGATGTGCGGATCTTCTTCTTTTTGTGGCTGTGGACGCCTTTCAGCACTGCCTTCTTGGCTTTCAAGGCCTTCGCTTTAGCTTCGGCTTTGGGAGGGGCAGGAGCTTCCTTCTTCGCTTTCGGCGCCATCTTGACGAAAAAGGATGTATTCATATTTGTAATCTGGGAAATAACATTTTATGTAAACCATCACTATTGTAGGTGTATGTATGTGTGTGGTTGTTTTTTGGTGCTGGGGATTGAACTAAATCTCCATGGTAGGCCAATGCTGTGATCACAGAGCTTCTACAACTTCAGTCCCACCCTAACTATTCTAGTAAATAAAATGGTAGCCTTTCGATAATGTGAAGTTTTATTATATTAAACTGTTGGAGGAGGCCGCTAGTTAGTTCTGGCCATTTAGCCCCAAAATAATCACACAGAAACCATATGATTTAAATCACTGTTTGGCCCATTAGCTCTGGCTTCTTATCGGCTAGCTCTTACATTTTAATTTAATCCATTTCTAGTAATCTGTGTATCACGATGTGGCTGTGGCTTACCAGGTAAAGTCCTGTCTTGCTCCGGTGGGCCTACATGGCCTCTCTTGACTCTTCCTTCTTTCTCCCAGCATTCAGCTTAGTTTTCCCCACCTAGCTCTGTTCCTCTATAGCTCTGCTATAGACCCAAAGCAGTTCCTTTATTAACCAATGATATGTATTTTTGCCTGAATGTATGCCTGTGCACCATATGTGTGCCTGGTACCCAGAGAGGCCAGAAGCTGGTGGATCACCTGGCACTGGAGTTACAGATAGTTCTGAGAAGCTATATGGGTGCTGGAATCCGAATGTAGATCCTCTGGGAAAGCAACCACTGTTAACTGATCAGCCATCTCTCTTTCTAATTTAGCTTTTGAGTTTTTCTGGGATAAGTTTTTCTAAGTAAACCTTTTCTAATATACTCAATGTGCTAGGTACTAGAGATGCAAATATTAATAAAATATTAAGTAATAAGTCAGAAATTTTTCCTTATCTTTTATTTTGAGACAAGGAATTCACCATTGTAGGCTAAGCCAACCCAGGAGGTGCTAGCCTCCTGAGTGCTGTGCTGGTTGGTACGTATGAGCAACCACTGCAAGCCCTGAATTCTTTCTCCTCTAAGCCTTATTTCTGGCCATCTCCTCCCCCTATTAAGTTTCCAAAGTTGAAAGGGTGGTGGGTTAGTTTCTCTCTCTTAGGCACTTACTTTTGTCAGATTCTGTTTCTCTTCCCATTCTCCTTTCAACTTCCAACCACACCACACTGCTGAAGCAGATTCTGATTTGACAGAGGATGGTAGGCTACTTCATGCTTGGGTTACATTGTGTTGCTATAGAACACAGAGTACCTGAGGAAACCTGGAGCTGTGTGAGCCATCATCTTAAGATTAAGAAGACGACTGATCAGGAAAGAGATGTTAAGGCAAATTGGGAAGCATTTCAGGCCTTCGCAAGGTGCCCCTTCTGTTATTTTCTCTGGCTAGGGGCATCCTCATGTTATTTTATGAGGTAAGTATCGGAACATGGATTCCATCTTTGTCAAGAGTCAGGTAGACATTCTTTGCCCATCAGTACTTCATACTTAGGCTTTTTCTAAACGTCCTAATCTGCATATTGAAGCCCTTGTCTTCTAATAACTTTCCCAAAGTTAGATAATTGCTTGAGCACCACAAGTTTTCCCTCCTCTATAGTGCTGCCGTATAGGCATGGCGTACTTCTACTGTATCCTTGGGGGTGTAGTACCGACACTGAGCTGGCTGCCAGAGGGTAGGAAATTGTCTTGTGTCTGCAGCCCAAGGGTAGCCTGGTCCCAGCCTAGCTATGAGTGCAACTGAACATGTTTGTAGATGACAGCATCATATTTCAGTGTCAGAAGGTTGGACACTGATAGGTGATCTTTGTTGGAACACTCGAGAGTCCTTGTTATTTCGGATTTCTCCTTTCCCCTCAATAACTTACTTTTAATGAGCACTGAAGAGGCTTGAGATTTGCTTTACATTTTCAGAGAACGGAGTGGAGGACACAGCAGGTCAGTTATATAGTGTTTTAGAAGGTACAAAGTGCCAAGGGAGAGAAAAGTAGAGCAGGGGAGTTAGGAAGGGAAGATGGAAGTCAC